GGGGGGCTGCACCTGGAATCTCCCGGCCCCCGGCCAGGACAGCTCCTTGCACCGTCCTTCTCCGGCCATTTGGGGGCGGCCGGCGCCACGCCAGCCTGAGCCTGGCCGCAGAGACTTGGTCCGTGGGCTGGGATTTCGCTGGCCAGGCCCAGGCCTGGGGTGAGCTGCTAGCGGAGGGGTGGCGGGGAGGCCTGGTCTCAGAGTACTCACGCACCTTTCTTCTGCCTGCTGCAGGGTCCCATGGGTCCCCGCGGTCCTGCTGGCCCCCCTGGCAAGAACGGAGATGATGTAAGTGGACCGAGAGCCCGTCCAGGGACGTTCTCCCCCCTCCCCGAGAGCCGGGCCTGCCAGCCGGTATCCACGGTGTGCTCAGCCCGGCGGCCTCCTGGGACTGAGGCTTTGGCTTCTGGGGGCCTGGCAAGCTGGCGAGAAGCAAGCGGGACCTTCCCGCAGCCGGGTGGCCTGCCTCCCGCTGACTGTCCGTCTCCTTTTCCTTCTGCCAGGGTGAAGCTGGAAAGCCCGGGCGTCCCGGCGAGCGTGGTGCTCCCGGCCCCCAGGTGAGACGTCCCTTCTGCCTGGCCCCCCGGGGCGCTTGGCTTGGGCGGTGTTGGCCCGTGGCCAGCCTCAGCGAGGTGACGTGGCTGGGAAAGCAAGGCCCCAGCTGGGCCGGGGGAGAGGGACCCTCCGAGCGCTGCCTGAGGGGCGTCGGCTGCTTCGCAGGATGGCCATCCGTGGGGCAAGGCAGCTGGGCCCTGCTGGTCACTCCCGATGGCGCGGAGCCGTGAGCACAGCGAGCCGTGGCCGTGGCCAGGCACAGCGTGGGGGCTGGGCTCGAGCGGGTGGCACCAGGGGCCTTGGCTCTGAATTGTTTCTCTCCCTTTGCCAGGGTGCACGTGGTCTGCCCGGAACTGCTGGCCTGCCAGGCATGAAGGGTCACAGAGTAAGTTGGTCCGTGGGTTAGTTACTGGAAAAGGGAAAGGCCCTGCGCCCCGCCCCTGAGCGCTGGAGATGCGGCTGTCTGAGCGCTCGCGCCCCCAGCGGGCCCCACCCTGCCCTCAGCCAGGCAACCCTGCAGGAGGGTCAGATGGCAAAGAGCATCTCCCCGCCCGCCGTGGGCCTCACCCCTCGGGGGAACTCCCCCTGCTCATGCCGCTCCTCTGGCAAACAGACGGGGCCTTGGGCCTGCTCCCGACCTAATCGCTGGCCCCCGCTGTTTCTGTTTCTCCTCCCTCCAGGGCTTCAGTGGTCTGGATGGTGCCAAGGGTGATACTGGTCCAGCTGGCCCCAAGGTAAGCTCCCTCTGCCCCGACACCTCCACCCTCCCTGGTCCCGTAAACGTGTCCCTGGCTCCTTGGGAACCGGCTGCT